AGCGGATACAGTATACCACATTAGCAGATGTGCAGGTGAACATGTGCAGCAACCACACCTGGCACTTTTCCCTGCAACCACAGGAAGTGCTACACCTGCCCCTACACCTCCCCCCTCACTCCCATCCCAGGCCCCAAGAAGACTTTCCACATCAGACAGATGTTCACTTGCACATCTGCTAATGTGGTATACTGTATCCGCTGTTCCTGTTGTGGACTCCTCTACATTGGGGAAACCAAGCGGAGGCTTGGACACCGCTTTGCAGAACACCTACGCTCGGTTCGCACTAAACAACTGCACCTCCCAGTCGCCAACCATTTCAACTCCCCCTCCCATTCCTCAGACGACACGTCCATCCTGGGCCTCCTGCAGTGCCACAACGATGCTACCCGAAGGTTGCAGGAACAGCACCTCATATTCCGCTTGAGAGCCCTGCAGCCCAATGGTATCAATGTGGACTTCACAAGCTTCAAAATCTCCCCTCCCCGTACCGCATTCCAAAACCAGCCCCAGCTTGTCCCCGCCTCCCTAACCTGTCCTTCCTCCCACCTATCCCCTCCTCCCACCTTAAGCCCCACCCCCATCTCCTACCTACTAACCTCATCCCGCCCCCTTGACCTGTCCGTCCTCCCTGGACTGACCTATGTCCTCCCTAACTCCCCACCTACACTCACCTTTACTGGCTCCATCCCTGCCTCTTTGACCTGTCTGTCTCCTCTCCACCTATCTTCTCCTCTATCCATCTTCTATCCGCCTGCCCCTCTCTCCCTATTTATTTCAGAAACCCCTTCCCCTCCCCCATTTCTGAAGAACGGTCTAGGCCCGAAACGTCAGCCTTCCTGCTCCTCTGATGCTGCGTGGCCTGCTGTGTTCATCCAGCTCTACACCTTGGTATCTCTAATTGTGCAAGAATATTTGCGGTTCAGGACATTTGGTGAGCGCTAAGGTAGTCTACTGGCGTGAAATTTCAAATCCATTGCACACTGGGCAATAATACTCACAAAACAAAACCATATGTTAAGAACATACTGAAAATATAATTCAGGCATACAAGAACAAATATTAGAGTGATAGATTAGTAGCACTTACATTGTCAATACTTGTGTTAAATGCTTATCTGAGTTCCTAACAGCAGACATGACAGTATTGTCCTTTTATGTTTATAATCAATTTTATAGTGCTTATATTCAGCAGTAAGCTAACAAATTCTTCGTGACAAACCCCATCTGTCCAAAGGCAGGCTTTGAACTATTATACACAATGGCCATTCTCAGCAGTTGCAAAAAAATGCCAGGCCACCTTGTGACGATACCATGGCTTTAAGAGGTGTAGTTTGTCCTGTCTTTTTTTTTAAAATGAAAGAAGTTTGAGACAGAGGTGTGAGCAGCCTGCTAAAGCCAATAAAGTAAATAGCTTGAGAGATCTTTTTTTTAAAAGCTGGAACAATAGAAGCAGCCTGAATGGATGGGGTCAAGCTTCCACAGAACCAGGATTTTTAGGGTTAGCAAGTTAGCTAAGGTCTTGAAGCTGGGTGTGGAAGCTCTATTCCTCATTCTGTTACAGTTAAAAGTTGGGGTGCTCTTCCTTCTGCTAAAATTGCATGCGAGACAATCTAGTTTACAGAATTTGTCTTTGCCAAGTATGTGTTATGGGATGTTGCTATACTGAAACAGTTAATTAGTAGTAATTAACATAGATATTATTTTGTTAAGCATTTCAATAGAGTTACAGTTAAGCAATTCATTTTTTTTGTCAATTTTATACAATACACTTAAAATACAAAGTACATTTTGACCAAACAAATTATATCTAGAATGCAAGCCTTACACCTACCTTAAAAATAAGAAAAAGTTAGGGTCTAGACTATCCTCTTAATATATTTAGAAGGGGTTTGGTCTGGTCCTTAGCAATCTATACAGCCAATCTCCATGACCGGAGCTTCAGTGCAAACCCCTCTTGCACTTCTGGAGAGGTACAAACAATGCTGTACAATACTGAGGAGATCCTTCTACAAATTAAGTGGCAGACTAATCACCATGAACTCAACAAATGAGGAGGTTATCACTTGGCTCCGGGGATACGCATCACTAAGTAAATAAAAACAAGCATTCAGGATGTTTTGGGAATATGGTAATATTGAATTTAAAACAACTGCAGTTAATAATTCATTCATATAATTCGAAGTGTGTAATGCACAACAAGCCTAAGAATAACTCAGCAGTAGCATTAAATCATTCAAGTAATTCACTTTGATGGTTGTGGAAAACATGAAAAAAAATCTGGCAGTGTTTCTGAGAGAAAGTTGCTTACCTATATTGTGATCAAGTAATACCTGCAAGAGCTTTAATTGTATCTAATATCTTTACAGGTGTTAGGAGATTATTTCCTATTAGTTTCCAGAGTGTAAGAGTCTCATCATTCCAGCTCAACAAACATATACTTTTATAAAATTTTCTTTATTTCTGAATTTTTTTTCTGTTTTCAGAATGCCAAATGGGAATCAGAAAATGCGAGCTGTCAGAGTGACTGGGTTGAACAGTCTGAATATGCTGAATCAGCATGCCCAGTTCATGCAATATTAATTAATAAACACTTTAGCGTTATAGAGTCATAGAGCTTGGAAATAGACCCTTCGGTCCAACTTGTCCACGCCGACCATGTTCCCAACTAGTCCCACCCGCCTGCATTTGGCCCATACCCTTCCAAACCTTTCCTATTCGTGTACTTATTCAAACGTCTTTTAAACATTGTACACGTACCTGCATCCGCCACTTCCTCTAGTAGGAATTTCACACATTAGCCATTCTGTGTAAAAAGGTTGCCCTTCATGTCCTTTCTAAATCTTCCTCATTTCACCTTAAAACAGGCCTCCTAGTTTTGAACTCCCCCACCCTAGGGATGAGACCTTTGCCATTCACCTTATCTATGCTCCTCATGATTTTATAAACCTCTATAAGGTCACACCACAACCTCTTATGTTCCAGTGAAAGAAGTCCAGGCCTAATCAACCTACTTTTATAAGTCAAACCGTCCATTTCCAGTAACAACCTGGTAAATCTTTTCAGAACCCTCTCCAGTTTATTCATATCCTTTCTATAAAGGAGCAACCAGAACTGGTGACAGTATTCCAGAAGAGGGCTCACCTATGCCTGTACAACCTCAATATGACATCCCAACTCCAATACTCAAAGGTCTGAGCAATGAAGACAAGCGTGCTAAACACATTCTTAACCACCCTGTCTACATGTGACAAAAACTTCAAAGAATATGTACCTGAATCTCTAGGTCTCTCTGTTCTACAACATTACCCAGGGTCCACCATTAATTGTATAAGTCCTGTTGTTTTTTTGTACCAAAATGCAATACCTCACATTTATCCAAATTAAATTTCATCTACTACTCCTCAACCCTTTGACCTAATTGATTAAGGTCTCTTTGTAATCTTAGATAAACTTCTAATGTCCACTAATCCACCAATTTTGGTGTCATCTGCAAACTTACTATCTATGCTTCCTGTATTGTCATGCAAGTAATTTATATGAATGACAAACAAAAGTGGATTCAGTAAAAGATCCCTGTCGAACACTGCTGGTCACAGGCCTCCATTCCAAAAAACCAATCCTCCACCACCACCCTCTATTTCCTAATGTAAAGCCAATTTTGTATTCAATTGTCAAGCTCACTGTGAATCCCATGTGATCTAACTTTACTAATTGGTACTACCATGCAGAATGTTATCAAAGGCTTTACTTAGTAAACAATGTCTACCGCACTGCCCTCATCAATCTTTTTGGTTACTTCCTCAAAAAACTCAATCAAGTTTGTGAGACACGACTTTCCTCGCACAAAACTATGCTGACCATCGCTAATCAGCCCTACCTCTCCAACTGCATGCAAATCCTACCTTTCAGAATCTTCCAATAACGTACCCACTACTGATGTCAGGCTCTCAGGTCTATAGTTTCCAGGCTTCTCCTTACAGCCTTTCTTAGCTAAAGGCACAACATTAGGCACCCTCCAGTCCTCCGGCACCTCACCCATGGTTATAGACAACACAAATATTTCTTTTGTGTTCTTTTGTTAGAAGTATATTGATAGCTTCTCTTGAATATATTCAATGACTGACCACCAAAGCAAAGAGACAAGAAAACCTATGGTCCTTCAAGCTAGGTCTCACTCTGGGATCTGACTTGTCCAGCGTTACCATCAGATGGGATCATACCAGATGCAAGTGCAATACCCAATACATTTTGAGAGAGCAGACTTTACTCTTACCTTCCTGACTGTTTGCCAAGATGCTTTTATT